AATTTATATACTTTCCGGGTAATGTTATCAATCCTTTAAATAAACTTATTCTAAAAGTTACCAATTCAACACTGTAGTTAGATCTTTATATATATAATTGTTTTAATCGGTATAAACATTGATTTTGTTATAAATAAATTCAAACCCACTTGAATACTATTGTTGTACACATATGTGTGTACACTCACGATCCTACAATCTGGCAATACCTATAATTTAGCATTACACAAGGCCATGTTTTTCTCTGAGTGTTTATGACGTTTTTAGACTAAATCCATTAGATCTGTACCGATTGATATTTTAGTCTTAGATTCATGAATTTTTTTACTAGCTTTGAACCAGCTTTCATGTTCTCTCAGATCTGTACTTTGTGTTTTGTGTACTTTTGGTATGAATTTTTTGTGTTTTGTATCGCCGGATCTGGTGAGTTAAGCCCTTCAACATATTTTTATAATTCAGGTTCTTATGTTGTGCTGTTACACCACTGTCCCATGTTAGGGGGAGGGTTTGGCGCCAGCAAACATGTTAACCCCACCACATTCTATATGCTTGTCCCAGGTCAGAAGCCTGTTATTCAGTGGTTGTCGTTTGATGCTGTATATCATACTAGTTATAAGGCCGTTAGTGTTCTCGTTTGAATTGTTTTACGTTTGTCATATGGAGCGTTTTATAGTTTACTCTGCGGTATGGGTTTTGCTCATAGTTGGAGGCCGTACGGTGACCTATAGTTGTTAATATCTCATCATTAGGTTTCTGGTAAAGAGTTGTCTCATTGGCAATCATACCACATCTTCTTTTTTTTTTATTGTGTATAGAATTCGCTGTGTTGGAACTACAATAAACTTTTGACGAATTTGAGTTCTTGGACGTGGGACATTAAAAATCTACATTAATACTTTATCTGTGATCGCGGCATCAGTGTAGTTCCAACCATTTTGTTTTCAACATTTTCACAAGCAACATATTTATATACTAGACAACAAAACTAAGGACGCAACAATTAACTTCAAAAAGGGGGGTATGTGTTTTTTTTATTGAGTCAGAATTATTTTTAGTTTCTCGACGCTATCAATCAAATCATTTTTTCAAAATATAACACTATAAGGTATTCAGAATATTTATTTTTGTCATCAGCTTGACTAGAATATTTATTTCATCAAAATGGGAATCAGAATATTTTTTTTAGATTAAAAAAAAAACATAACCCTCCCCCAAGTTAAATGGTCGTTCTCTAACGATACGAAAGTTTGATCTGAAATATTTTGAAAAAAATATAAGAAATCAATTTGAGAAGAGAGTGCACAGATGATTAAAAGAATCGAACCCTGTCGAAAAGTGAGCAAAAAAAATGTTATTGAACATGCAAAGGAGTCACATTTTTTTTGGCAGAAATTAAACTGATGACACAAATCGGAACCCAATTGCAAATGAGAATAGAGCATTCAAATGTTTGAGAAGGAATTCAAAATTATAGTGAGACCATTTTGTGTTTCAAGTTTAAGTTAAAATGTCGGATTTTGAAAATATTTTGGTAAAAGGGTGATCTCTGAAGTCTAAATTTTACAAACAAATAATTTCGCGGCTTTTGTCTTCTATCAATATTAAACGTTAGACCAACTAGACAATTTTTAAGCTTATAAGTATCGTGTATTAAATTTCATCATACATGGAAAATGCATTTCCTTGTATCGTATTTTTGACATGTATATTTCACTTATTCATCATATTTATTATATTTATATAAATATTGTAATTCGTCATATCCATGGTTGTTCATAAATATCACTTTTGTCTTTCAATTGTCATATTTTCACTCTGCAGATTCCAAGGTCTAGACTGCGAGAGAATTTATGTAAACTCGATGAAGACGGGATAGCCGAAAGAAAACGCGGTCGTCTACATCGAAGGGTCTATAACGTTCAGGCACCTAATCACCTTTGGCATGTTGACACAAACCACAAACTTATACGATGGCGCTTTATAATTATAGGCGGAGTTGATGGTTTCAGTCGGCTAGTAACATTTTTAAAGTGTGAAAATAATAACAAAGCCGAAACTGTTTACAAGTCTTTTATGGATGGTGTAAAGGCCTATGGGATGCCTTTACGTGTTCGATCTGACCAGGGAAGAGAAAATATACTTATAGCTGATTACATGCTTGCAACAAGAGGTCCTGGTAGTATGATTACTGGAAAATCGGTGCATAATCAAAGAATCGAGCGATTATGGCGCGATGTGTATGAAGGAGTATTGTCATTACATTACGATCTCTTTTATTTCATGGAAGATCAGCACCTTTTGGACATTCTTAACCCTGTACATATTTATGCACTACACTATGTATACTTACCCAAGATAAATGAAAAGTTGAATATCTGGCAAGAGGCATGGTCAAGACACAAACTAAGAACTGTTAAAACGTCTCCACTCTGTTTGTGGACCGCCGGAAATATTAATAATCTGATCACCTTTCAATTAGATGACCGAGCAAATTATGGTGTCGATGGCACTGTTGATGATAATGAAATAGAAAGCAACCACGAAAGGGCGGATTTGAACCCAAGACCAATTTTTTCGTCAGAGATTATTCCTGTTAGCGAGAGATGCCAAGAACAATTAATATTACATTGTCCTTCTGACTGGACATCTTCGAACTACGGAATTGACATATATTGTACAGCTCTTGACATTATCAAGCGATACTGAAAAGTATCGTCTCTGTTTGAAATCAGACTCACTCTCTGTACACATATGTGTTTTATCATATGCTCATTGAAAAGTATAAATACAATGGTAATTGAAATATAATAAATAGCTACATTGTATCTTATTATACAACAAATATATGCGCTTTATACCGAGGCCAAGGGTCAACTGTCAAGAAATTATTACTTATAGCATATTAGAGACAAGAATAAAAAAATCAAAAGCTTCAAAGTTTTAAAAAAACCTTGCAATTCATGACGAGAAAAATAGTTACTTAGTTTTCATCAAAAATGAGATTCAAACTTTTTTGATACAAAAAACGTTGACTTCATCGCTACCATACAAACATGTCCGCAAAGTCAACCAGAAAACATATAAATTCACTTATGTGATAATACATTTAATGATTTTTCACGTTTGCATAAGTTATGTTACAGTAAAACTATAACAGATAAAGAAAAGGCACTGGCTACCATCATCAGCAAAAAGTAACAAGAAAAAATTATTATTGCTACTTACGATACTAATAGCCGAAAAATATTTCCGGAGAGGGACCCGATTTCTAACGGAAATTTCAGTGTATTGTTGTGTCTTTTGCCAAATTGGTCTTAATTCTTTTTTGCTATAATATATGGTTTTGTCAGTTTATTTCCAACTTACGAGTGTGAATGTCCCTTTGGTACCTTTCGCCTCTCTTCAACAATATCATTTTTTTTGCTACCTGCAGTTATTGATATCCGCAAAATATATTTAGACGGACACTGATAAAAAAAAATGTTTGATTTGCGAACAATCTGTGAAACAAATTTAAACAATAACATGAAAAAATCTTCCAGATATATTGACTGATATGTTCGATTTTGCCACAGGAGGGTCAATTTAAACAACTCACTATTCCTAAGTTTAGATATGAATGAGCAATATGTCCAATTTGTATTCGGTGAAAAGTTTATTTCCTTAAAGATTTTAATGATAAAATTCAACGGTTCCAAGATGCAATTTGTGTGCTGTTGCATAGAAGTTCTTGTAAAAAACAAGATGTCGCTGAAGGATATAGCAGATTGGAACTGTTTAGTATGCTGTTTAGAAGTGCATATTTAGATCTATATTTTGTGACGGATGTCTGAAGTGTAAACTGTAAACATCATAAATGATCAGCAAGACGATCTAGAAATAATAGGCCAGCAAAGCTGAACTTGTCAGTCGACCCTTAATTTTTTGGCAATTTTGACAGAGTTAAGTAGATAAGGCAAAGGGCAAACATAAACAGTGCAGAAGTTGGAATGTCTCACCTACTTTACTTACGATTGAACACATGTTAAAAGTCTGTTAAATGAAGGTATTACTACAAGTATCACATATAATTAACATTATCAATGATCCGATCCATGTAAATAAGGTCAAGGTCAGATCCCTGACAGACAGACATGTTCACCTTACAATCATATCATACACAGCATATAAATAGCCCATTGCTTAGATAATATGAGAAACAGGCCTTCTTAATTATATCTACTTATTACGAAAACTGAACATTGACCAATGAACCATAAAATGAGGTCAAGGTCAGATGAACCCTGCCAGACAACAGGTACACCGTGCAATATAGTTTACCTATTTCTTATAGTTTCTAAGAAAGATATAACTAGGAAAGGTTAATATTGACTGGTGAACTTTGAACATGAGGTCAAGTTCAGATGAAACCTGCCAAAAAGACATATACACCTTACAATCAATCCATTCACCAAGTACAGTTAACCTATTGCTCAAAGTATCTGAGAAACTGAATAAAATGAACCATAAAATGAGGTCAAGCTCATATGAAAATTGCCAGACACGAACCCTTACAATGATTCGGTACACCTCATATGGACCTTGATCACTGATTCATTAAATGAGATAGAGTTTAGGTGACCCTGTCTGATGGACATATAAGGCCTTGCAAGAATCCAATACAAGTATGTCAAATATCATATTAGTCATATGAAGCAAGTATTTCATATGAAAAAAATTGTACAGCAGTTGCTGAACCATGGAAATGAAGTCAAGGACAATGGTCATATGACGGACAGAAACTTTGTAACTGTTTTACAACCCTAGATCAACAAACTAGTTAAGGCATTACTGGAATAATAAAAGCTATTTTTTTTTTTATATATAAGCTTGTTGGCCGAGTGGTGTTGCCCCAATGTCACAGAAGCAAGTGCTTGAATCCCACTGAGGGAAGAACAAAAATTTGCTATCACATCTAACATTCAGTGTTTTGCTAAATTTCAGACAAAAGATAATCAAAATATGTTTCATCAACATCTTTTAATGTCTGCAAATAAACAACAAATAATGAAATAACATCAACAATTTCCCACAGAATTATGTTTTGGTAAAATCAAAATAACATTTTACACCAACCCAAATATTCAATAAAGTATTCTGATGTTTGACAACCAATTCATTGCATTAAGTTTATTTTTATTTTGGTACAAACCTTATTATCTGCAAAAGTAGTTACTTTTATAAAAAGGATATTTCATATAACATTTATTCCATGTTTGGTTAAAGATGCCACAGAGCTGTTCCATTAAAACCCATGTGGTACCCATGCTGGGCAATAAAATTGAAATGGTGTCACCATCCATAGAAGCTATTTTTAAATTTCTTGAAAACCTGATAAAAACACCCACCCTTAGATGACATTATTGAAGTCCCTTCTTTATGGTTTGAGTATGTTTAATGGAACAACCCTCAGTAGCTTAAGACAAGATGTAAAATGTTAACAAAGACACCAAGTAATGGCATATGCTCACCTTGCTATTTGCATGATGAGGCAAAAACCTTAAACAAGAGGCTCTCAAGAGCCTGAATCGCTCACCTGTAATTATTGCTTAAATCTTTCATCAATGATTATTTTTGCTAATTATACAGCTTAAGTTTGGTAGGAATTGGTTCAGTAGTTTCAGAGAAGATGTTTGAAATAGTTTACACCAGACAGACGCAACAGACGCTAAGTGATGGCTAAAGCTTACAGTTCCTTCTAAACGGTGAGCTAAAAAGTGGAATAAATACATTTTTCACAGGCACTTCAACGCAAGGGGATATATATTTATATATAGAAGATACAATTTAATAGCATTTCTTAATGCTTGCCAATAAAAAACAACAAATAATGAAAAATCTTCCAACAGATTTCTGTTATAGCATTTATGCTAAATTATAGAAAAAAACAACATCACGCATCAGCATATATTCGATATAAAGTTATATGAAATCAGGTCAATGTCCAGTGAACCCTGTCTGACATGTATACCTTGCAATTATTCTATAGAACACATATAGATATATCCTATAACTGGAAAAAAACAATTGACAAACAATAACCTATAGTTATTTGTTATGTCTGAACAATGAAAATGGATATATGTTAGACAGCAAAATCAAAACATAATGCATTTATATGTAAGATATAAAGCCTATCGGTATTCTTCATTCAGAATTCATGCCATTGCTAGATTTTCATCCCTATTCCATCCCAATTCTGTGACAAATGGCAAGGAATAAAACTGTTTTTACCACAGATTGTGTTTCAATTTTCACAAAAATAATTTCTGATATTTCATGTATTTGTATTAGTTTTAAAAAATCAATGAAATTAGCATGTTATGCATACACATGTATTTACAATTTTTTGTTGAAAGCCAAGCACTAAGAAGATTAAAAATTTTTCCATCAAAATTACTCCTTAATTTGTTTAGATCAATTATGCAAAATGTTTGAGATAATCTTGACTTATGGACAAGCAGACCATACAACAGGAACAAAAGGGCATCAATAAAAAGTCATTTGTATACTTAAGTCTCCCTACAAAATCTTCCAATTAAATCACACAAGAAGCTTCCTTATATGTTTTTCTGTAATTATCACATGTTTACATCTGTTGCGAACTTGCTACCACATTAATCCTTATTACTTCAAATGCAACCAATATTCAGTAATTATTGCATTATTGCAGTCCAAAATAATTGTTAGAAAATGCATAGTCAAACAAATTAAACAAAACATCATCTGTTGGCAAACTTTCTCCATTCGTTGCTTTAACAAGAGTCAATCTGTTGATACATGTATTGGACATAGGAATGAATGATGGCACACTGTTGGTGACAAATACTAAAGATGGCTTGATTCTATATCCTAAGATTGGCTCCTCATCAGATCCAGTAGCAAACTCTAATATTTTCCTAAGTGTGACTTGTCCTCTTCTCCCACCTACAAAATGTTCAATATGATCCTTAATATTTTTAATTCAACAGCTTGTAAAATCTTACCAAAGCTTTCATTTTAATGTTTAAATATGATATCAAAACAGTCAATATCAACTAGGTAGAGCTGTTTTAGTGGACTAAATCTAATGACTCTCTTTCATCAGCTATAGTTGCTTAAATCCACATCGTCTGGACTCTGTTGGATATTTGTCTGATTGGCAATCATATCAGTCTAATCAGTGTATTAACTTGACTGGGAGCAGTTTAACCTGTTTGCTCATCAGAGACCAGTCCATCGATAGATAGGTGTTTCGGGATAGTGTCCAGTTATGGTCATTAATCCTGTTGTGATATGTAAACACTTAGTATATGTGTATTCGCAAAATAAATAATGAGACACAACTGTTTATTTTCTTGTAACAAACGTAAAATTTGTCACATTTATTAGTATGTGGATATGAAAATAAATAAATTGCTTCACTGAGCGCACCTGGATACGACCGCAAATGTCCAACCCTGAAAAATGGACACAATATTCACACTTGATACAGGTCTGAATTTGGATTGTAATTAAATTTTTGACAGATAATAGGTTTTTGACACAGAATAACTGTAGTAAAGAACTTCAAATTGGTTATATGATTTGAATTTATATTCAACTGTTTTCAACTGTTTGCTTTTGTGCAATGCACTATGCTTTCTTCTACAATTACTAACGCCCATAGACTACCGAACTCTATACACATAACACTAATAAAAACCAAACTAAAGTTCTTATTGAATACCCACACAACAGTGCCATGTGCTGATTTTAATTGCACATTATATACAATTATGATACATAATATCATGTCGACAAAATATAGTAATTTATAATTTATAATTACTACTGAAATCAAAACATTAAATATAACATCAAATAAGTTCACATAAGCAAGATACAAATTTTAACTGGGAAACACGTGTAATGGAGTTGGCCCTGTCATGCTGAATGGTTATATCCCATGAAGCGCGGGAATACAAATAACGGTCTATGGGCAGACAACTTGTTGTGTTTGTTTTTTCAACATTGGCTAGAAATATGGGGGGATGAGATCTCAAAAAACATGTTTAACCCCGCCGCATTTTTGCACCTGTCCCAAGTCAAGAGCCTCTGGCCTTTGTTATAGTCTTGTATGATTTTTAATTTTAGTTTCTTGTGTATATTTCGGAGTTTAGTATGACGTCCATTATCACTGAACTAGTATACATTTTTGTTTAGGGGCCAGCTGAAGAATGCCTCCTGGTGCGGGAGTTTCTCCCTGCATTGAAGTATGGTGGCCTTCAGCTGTTGTCTGCTTTTTGGTCGGGTTGTTGTCTCTTTGACACATTCCCCATTTCCATTCTTAATTTTATACACAATATAAATCTTAAACTAATTTTTTGGGTCCTATATCGTACACACAGTTCTTTTGTTTATCTGTTAGGTGATACTGATGGGTGATTAGAAATCAGTAATAATAATTATAACAGCAATCATCCTTATCACACACATTTCCAAATAGACAGTCCTATTATGCGAATTAAAACATAAGCTCTGCCTGATCAGTTGAAAAAACATTAGGTAATACACACAGAAAAAATATATCAAAGCTTGATCCAGTATTGGAGGAAAAAATGGAGCATATTAATCTATGCAGAATTTGATATTAGCAACATTAATTGTAGATACTTTGTTCAAGAAGCTTTTAAAATGGATGAATAAGTCGTTACTCAAGTTATTGTGTGGAAAGCTCACACAATGCAAATTTTCAGTGAGCCGAGAGCCATTATTTTGTACAAATTGAACTTCACTACCATTTTGACATAAACATAATACAAGTTTGTATATTAAGTTTTGAAATGGATCCATTAATCATTGCTCAAATTATTGCAGGGAATTGCAATTTTTCAGTCAATCGAAAGGGGATAAATCATTAATGATAAAAGACAAATGTCGTCAAAATCAAACTTGACCTACATTTTGTCGTAAAGAAAACCATATTGATCTATCCACAAAATGTTAAGTTATTGAATGGAAACTGTTGGCAGCCACCCCACACCATACACTGTTTTTATAAAGCGATTTTCCCCTAGCATAACCTGGATAAAATGATCATGGACAAGTCTTGAACTCTAAAATTATTTGATTACGTTACTCATGTACTAACACAATGCTTGATACAAACCTGCTACTTCACGAAGATACTTGATAAATCTCATAAAAACTTTGGTTTCCTGACTTCTACTGTTTGAACCATCTGGGCTGAACTCAGGAGTAAACAGATTTGTAACTGCTTTCAGTGTAACTGGTTTGGGTGTTCCCGGGTAAAATAAAAACTTCAGACAGGGAATACCAAGTACCAGCTGAAAATATTGTTATTGAACATGTTGAATTAAATTTCTGATAAACTGATACCATAAAAGTATTCAAATTAATTTAAAGACGCATATATATATTTGATATAGGGTGTCCTAAAAAGTACATGGTTAGTTACCATATGGGGTTAGTACGGAGTTACTTCCCTTTCAAAACCCAAAAGATGGTACGTGCCTTTATAAAAACAACACAGTGTTGAGGAAAAATGTAAAAGATTTCAACAGATGAAGAAATTAGAGATGAAAGATTGAAATAAATTTATATAACACATTCAAAGCTAACAATTTGTTGTTGTTGGTATTAAAGAGCTACTTCTCTTTCAAAACAAAACTAGAGGCTCCAAGGAGCTTGTGTTGCTCACCTGATATTTTTATTTACAATTGATGCATGAAATAATGCAACCGTTATACTTTTGCTTTAAATTTAGTTCCAGAGATGCAAGTCAAAAACTGCATTTCCCCCCTATGTTCCATTTTTAGCCATGTCTGCCATGTTGGTTGGCAGGCACGGTCATTGGACACATTTTATCGTAATGCTGATTGTGGCCAAGTTTGATTAAATTTGTCTCAGTTGTTTCTGGAGAAGACTTATGTAAAAGATAACAAAAATTTACGAAAAACTGTTAAATTTGACTTTAAAGGGCAATATACATGATATATAACTCCTTATGGGGTCAATTAACCATTATGGTCATATGAACTTATTTGTAGATTATACTTTGCTGTACATTATTGCTGTTTACAGCTTATCTCTATCTACAATAATATTGAAGATTGAGGTGGGGGTTTGTAAATAGGAAGGGATGGGAGGCACTCAAGTTAATTATGAGTGATTGCTTTTACCTTAGAATTTTGAAAGAATTATGTTAAACAGAAGTTTTCATAATATAGGTGGTTCACAGGGAGTCTAAAAAAAGAGCCTGTCATTCCCCATCCCCCATGCATTTAATTCTGGAACAGCCCTAAGTAAAATAAACTTATATATGCCTGTACCGCTCACCTGGTGAAAAATTACCAGTTTTCTAATTATACTATACAGTACTCTTTAAGGTGCTGATTTTAACATATCTAACCTAATCTACATTCCAGGGACAATTACTCTAAAACCGGCTGTCGATTTTTCAAGTGTTTAAAACTTGAATAGCTCTAATAAAGCAGCTACTGTCTAGGTTCCTTAAATTATGAAGGTTTGACAAAGTAAATGATGTATAAAATATTAATGTTTACTGCTAATATTCAATTGCAATCTGGATAATGTCTTTTGATGATCCTGAAGTATTTGTCCAATTTTCATAAATACTAGACAACACCGGCGATATCACGGGTCCGCCGTGAGTGAACTAAAGTATCTAATTATGTGTAAGCCTTATTTAAGCCTGGATTTTTAGTTTTGGTATTGTCATCTGATAAAGTCGTGCTGATTATAAGATGCAGTTTTCGCTGCGTTCAAAATCTTTCTGTTTGAACCCGTCAACCTGGAACTTATCAATTATTGGTAATATTAATTATTTGGAAAACAAATGGGCCTGGAATGGAGTAATTTTTAATCAACAGCATTGTCCTATATTAGTTATAAGTAAAGTTGAATTCTTCGATTCGCTGTTTTTACGTCACGTCGGCTAACAAATTGGAAACTGTACCTACGCCTTATTTTAAGTCTAGATTTTTAGTATTCGTATTGTCATTTTATAAAGTCATGCTGATTAAAATACTACAATAGGAAACAATGTGACAATGATTGAATTTAGTAGTGTCAACCCTGTGATTATGACCCGTGTATATAGCAAAATCCTAAATACACCGTTTGGTGGTGCGCCTGACAGATGCTGAACATACAGATAAGGTAATAGGTAACATGTGACATACAATGACATGACTAAAAGGAAATCGCATCAGATAGTACCGGAACTTATTATTTTGTCTAATTGCTTATTGTTTGAAACAGTAATCGATGTAAAAGGTTAAAATTTTCAGTATACCCTATCAAGTGTATATACCCTTATATAAGTTTGACTTGTAGCTTTCTTTGGTTATACGTTTATTAGGTGAACAGAAAAACGGTCTTTAGATTTAGTGGTATAGATTAATTAAGTTTACATTTGACAGTGTTAATGATATTGATTTTTAACAAAAAAAGACTGAACCAAAATGCCAGTACTGCTGAAGGATTGAGGATTGCTATGTCTCACTTCCAGGACTTGCATAGCAGGATCAACAAAAATGTATTCAGAATAAGATTTGCTTGCCTCTTGAAGACCAAGTGCATTTATCCCTTTTCTAAGGTCCTTAACAAATGAACGTGGAGAATCACCATACAGGAGCTCATCACATATCTCAGGTGTCAGAAATGAAGGCAATGGACCATTCTGCAAAATACTGAGAGCTGAAAAAAAAAGTAATTATTTTAAAAAACATTATATAACAATGAAACCATAATGTCAACTAAACAAAGGCAAAAAATAAAATTAAAATTCAGGGGTTCAAATTAGCGGTGGTCCGAGGTCTGTGACCTTCCAATATTGCAATCGGACTTTCATTTTGGTTACTAGCTGCGCCCGACGGACCTTCGATTTGAAAGAAAAAAAAAATTAACTTTGCCGACCTTTTGAACCATCAGTATCGTCATTTCAAAGCCATATTACTATTGACATGGTATACCCCTCGAGAGCGTACTTTAAACCATTTTAACTGTCAGCAAAATAAGTTTGATAACCCATTAGAAGTGATGAAAGTTGCCTTAAGTAAATTTGTAATCCATTCATTGCATTAAAAACGTTATATTCCCTTCCAAATAGCGTTTCAAACAATCTTTTATTTTTGTAAATGTTTTCGTCCGCCATTGAAATATTTGTACAAACTACTGATCGGAGTCGGGAAACGGACCAGCTATGAATGAAATCCGGATTCTAAGGATAATGACTACGGACCCATAAATGGCACATCTGACAGAAGAATATTGATCCCAAAGGGAAAAATTAAGCATTCCACACTTTCTTTTCTTTTTTGATGTAAAAAAGTTCTTTCTTTATTAGTGCTAGATATTTAGTTGGTAGTTGCTAACAAGAGAGGAACTAATATAATTGTGCAACATATGATGAACTTAAACAGCTATGAATTTGAACTGTTACAAATTTGAACAATATAAAAAAAGATACATATAGTCCTTTATATTATAGTAAACATCAAACATTGTAGCGCCTTGAGTGAGCACTTCTCTTTCAAATCTCACCACTTCTCCCTATCAGTTTAAAAAAGAGAAGTCACTTCTCCCCATGATTCTGAAGTAGTTTAAGCCCTGAGATAATGGTATAATTACCAATAATTGAGACAACACACCCATCCACAGCGACACCCTCCCCAATACCAAAAAAAAAGACTATTTGAATTCATAATATACTTGTAAAACAATTACATCATTTATTATTATACATGTTATACCACAGTGACACTGATAGTTTAGTGCTACATTTATATGGTTGCCTGGCAATATATTTGTAAACTTAACAAAATATTGCATGAAGTTCAAATATAATTAAACAAGCTAACCTAAGACCAAAAACACATTAATCTTACTGAGTTATGAAATATTTCAAATAAAGTAGGACCTGGAATTTATGTTGTGGACCTTTCAGTTTGGAGTGTCAAAGGTCCTGGACCTTCCAGTACCAAATGTTAATTTGAACCCCTGAAATTGTTTGAAGTTGCCTACCTACCCACCTTAAAAGCAGCCTACCAGAAAAAAATTTATGAAACAAATCATTTCCAATGTCTTTAAAGAATTTTTCCTGATCTAACATTGTTGTTTGACAAAAACATGTAACTAATGTTGTTGGCAAAAACTAGAGGCTCTCAAGAGCATGTGTTGCTCACCTGTATTTACTGATGCTTTGGAAATCATGTAAAACAAGAAATGATTGTAACAGGATGCTGTTACGAAGTCTCCCAAACGAAGCTCCCATAATTCGTAATTCCCAGGGTCGCCTGACATTGGGCAAAGTCTAGTGAAAATTGGTTTGGTCCAGTAAAGTTATATGCATTAGTGATGCCTGGGGACTAACCCTGTATATCATTCAAATCATATTGGCATGACAAACCAGAATATATATGGTTTAGGGGTGGGGATCTCGACCATTTACAAGATATTACAACTTTCTCAAATGGCAGGGGGTCGGGATGATCCCTGGGGACTAACCCTGTATTTCATTTGATTTGCTTTATCATGACAAACCAGAATATATATGGTTTAGGGGTGGGGATCTTGACCACTTACAAGATATTAGAACTTTCTTAAATGGCATGGGGTGGGGGTGACCCCTGGGGACTAACCCTGTATTTCATTTGATTTGCTTTATCATGACAAACAAGAATATATATGGTTTAGGGGTGGGGATCTCGACCATTTACAAGATATTACAACTTTCTCAAATGGCAGGGGGTCGGGATGACCCCTGGGGACTAACCCTGTATATCATTCAAACCATCTTAGCATGACAAACCAGAATATATATGGTTTAGGGGTGGGGATCTTGACCACTTACAAGATATTAGAACTTTCTTAAATGGCATAGGGTGGGGGTGACCCCTGGGGACTAACCCTGTATTTCATTTCATGTGCTTTATCATGACAAACCAGAATATATATGGTTTAGGGGTGGGGATCTCGACCATTTACAAGATATTACAACTTTCTCAAATGGCAGGGGGTCGGGATGACCCCTGGGGACTAACCCTGTATATCATTCAAACCATCTTAGCATGACAAACCAGAATATATATGGTTTAGGGGTGGGGATCTCGACCATTTACAAGATATTAGAACTTTCTCAAATGGCAGGGGGTGGGGGTGACCCCTGGGGACTAACCCTGTATTTCATTTAATGGGTTTTATCATTTAGAACATTTTCAATTAAAAAGATTGTGTCTATTACAAACGGTTTTCAATTTATAATCATTTGAAAATTTAAAAAAATAAAATCCCATAGGGTTCTATAGTAAAACCCTCTTTTCTTTTTGCCCCTCAAAGTACCCCTTTATAAACCCCATTGCACAAACAAAACCCTGATTGCACCACTAGACATGTTAGTCTAACATATTGTGAAACCCTAAGTTAATCTGACAAGCGGTTTTGGAGAACGGGTGCGGACAAACTTCAAATTTAAAAGCGGCGGAAGAGGAAGAAGAATAATAATAATAATAAGAACTGAGCAAAAACAATAAGTCTTCCCAAACTTCGTTTGGGAGACTTAATAAGGTTAAAATCATAATTAATAGTATTAGATATTAGATATTATAATGATATCTAAGATCATAACAAATAAAATGCTTCGCTGGGGCGCAGCTTGATACGACCGCAGAGGTCGAACCCTGAACAGTTGGGGCAAGTATGGACACAACATTCAAGCTTGATACAGCTCTGAATTTGGATTGTTATTAAATATTTGACACAGCATAGGTTTCTGACACAGAAAGAATGTGGTCTAAGAACTTGAATTTTTTTAATTTACCTATTATGGTCCAATGTCCAAAATCAAAATACATGGTTAGATTCAGCATATCAAAGAACCCCATATATTCAATTTTTGTTAAAATCAAACAAAGTTTAATTTTGGACCCCAACTTGGACAAACTTGAAAACTGGGCCCATAATCAAAAATCTAAACACATGTTTAGATTCAGCATATCAAAGAACCCCAAGAATTCAATTTTTGCTAAAATCAAACTAAGTTTAATTTTGGACCCTTTGGACCTTAATGTAGACCAATTTAAAAAACGGGACTTAAAATTAAAAATCTAAATACACGGTTAGATTTGGAATATCAAAGAACCCCAATAATTCAATTTTTGATGAGATCAAACAAAGTTTAATTTTGGACCCTTTTGACCTCAATATGAACCAATTTGATAGCGGGGCCCACAAATAAAAAATCTAAATTCATGGTTAGATTCAGCATATCAAAGAACCCCATATATTCAATTTTTGTTGAAATCAAAAAAAGTTTAATTTTGGACCCCAACTTGGACCAACTTGAAAACTGGGCCCATAATCAAAAATCTAAACACATGTTTAGATTCAGCATATCAAAGAACCCTAAGAATTCAATTTTTGTTAAAATCAAACTAAGTTTAATTTTGGACCCTTTGGACCTCAATGAAGACCTATTTAAAAAACGGGACTCAAATTAAAAATCTAAAAACACGGTTAGATTTGGCATATCAAAGAACCCCAATAATTCAATTTTCGATGAAATCAAACAAAGTTTAATTTTGGACCCTTTTGACCTCAATATGAACCAATTTGATAGCGGGGCCTACAAATAAAAAATCTAAATACATGGTTAGATTCAGCATATCAAAGAACCTCATATATTCAATTTTTGTTGAAATCAAACAAAGTTTAATTTTGGACCCCAATTTGGACCAACTTGAAAACTGGGCCCATAATCAAAAATCTAAATACATGGTTAGATTCAGCATATCAAAGAACCCCATATATTCAATTTTTGTTGAAATCAAACAAAGTTTAAATACTGGACCCTATCTTGGACCAACTTGAAAACTGGGCCCATAATCAAAAATCTAAACACATGTTTAGATTCAGCAAATCAAAGAACCCCAAGAATTCAATTTTTGTCAAAATCAAACTGAGTTTAATTTTGGACCCTTTGGACCTCAATGTAGACCAATTTAAAAAACAGGACCCAAAATTAAAAACCTAAATACACGGTTAGATTTGGAATATCAAAGAACCCCAATAATTCAATTTTAGATGAAATCAAACAAAGTTTAATTTTGGACCCTTTTGACCTCAATATGAACCAATTAGATAACGGGGTCCACAAATAAAAAATCTAAATACATGGTTAGATTCAGCATATCAAAGAACCCCATATATTCAATTTTTGTTGAAATCAAACAAAGTTTAATTTTGGACCCCAATTTGGACCAACTTGAAAACTGGGCCAAAAATCAAAAATCTAAATACATGTTTAGATTCAGCATATCAAAGAACCTCATATATTCAATTTTTGCTAAAATCAAACAAAGTTTAATTTTGGACCCTTTGGACATTAATGTAGACCAATTTGAAAACTGGACCCAAAATTAAAAATCTAAATACACTGTTAGATTCGGCATAACAAATAAATAAATGTGATCAAAGATTTTACAAATCTAATGCGCCATACTGTGCAATTAAAGATTACTTCTTGAAATTTTTCAATATTTGAAATTTGAAAAAAAAATAATATTTGAAGAATAATTCTTTTTAATTTCTGAAATCTGAAATGAGAAAAAATTGGCCCCCCACAATTTCTGTTTATCCCCCCCCCCCCCTTTTTCCCCAAAAAAAATTCTTTCCCTCAAGATATGGTCATAATCTCAATTCAAATTTCCAATGGAGTTGGCAACCATAATTACCCATTTAAATTAATCATAGTGCTAACTTAATCTATTTTATAATAGAATTAATAAAAATATAGTGTCAAATCTTTCATATGGATTTTTTTGTAAAAAAAAAAGATAAAACATTTGCAGATATTTTTACTGGTCTTCCTTTATAAATATGCATTTCTTTAAACATAATTTAAAAGCAGTGTAAGGGAAGTAACCAAAACGTTGTATTTGGATTACCTCCCTTACACTGTTTTAGATTATCTTTATTGTTCATTAACCATTACTTTATACATAATTTAAAAGCAGTGTAAGGGAGATAATTTCAATGATGTATTTGATTTATCTCCCTTACACTGCTTTAAATTATGTTTTGTACTAAAGTATTTGTCCATTAACCAGGACAACCTTGTTTTTCCCCCTTTTTTGCCCCTAATTCCTAAACGGTTTGAGCCATAACCCCCCAAAGCAAATCCTAACCATCCCTTTGTGGTATGGAAACTTGTAGTATAATTTCAGAGAGATCCATACACCGTTCCACAGTTATTGTCTGGAAACTAGAAAATGCTCATTTTTGGCCCCTAATTCCTTAACTGTTGGTACCATAACCCCCAAAATCAATCCCAACCTTCCTTTTGTGGTATTTAACCTTATGGTCAAATTTCAAAAAGATCCATTCACTTAAACTAAAGTTAGAGTGCGAAAACCAATATGTATTCGGACGACGACGACGACGACGCCAACGTCATACCAATATACGACCACAAAATTTTTTTGCGGTCGTATAAAAACTGCAGAATTTTTGTAAAATTACTAACTAAGGGGCAGCAACCCAACAACGGGTTGTCGGATTGGTCTGAAAATTTCAGGGCAGATAAATCTAAATCTGATGAACATTTTTGTCACCGGTCAAATTTGCTCTAAATGCTTTAGTTTCAGAGATATAAACCAAAAACTGCATTTTACCCCAATGTTCTATTTGTAACCAAGTTGGCCATGATGGTTGGAAGGCTGGGTCATCGGACAAATTTTTTAAACTAAATACCCTTATAATGATTATGGCCAAGTATGGTTAAATTTGTCTCAGTAGTTTCAGAGAAGAAGGTTTTTGTAAAAGATTACAAAAACTTACGAAAAATTGTTAAAAATTGACTATTAAGGGCAATAACTCCTAAAGGGGTTGACTGACAATTTTGGTCATGACAACTTATTTGTAGATCTTACTTTGCTGAACATTATTGCTGTTTACAGTTTATCTCTATCTATAATAATATTCAAGATAATAACCAAAAACTGCAAAATTTCCTTAAAATTACCAATTCAGGGGCAGCAACCCAACAACAGGTTGTCAGATTTGTCTGAAAATTTCAGGGGCAGATAGATCTTGACCTGATAATCAGTTTTACCCTATGTCAGATTTACTCTAAATGCTTTGGTTTCAGAGATATAAGCCAAAATCTACATTTTACCCCTTTGTTCTATTTTTAGCCATGGTGGCCATCTTGGTTAGTTGGCGGGGTCATCGGACACATTTTTTAAACTAGATACCCTAATGATGATTGTGGCCAAGTTTGGTTAAATTTGGCCCAGTGGTTTCAGAGGAGAAGATTTTTGTAAAAAGCTAACGATGACGACGACGGACGCCAAGTGATGAGAAAAGCTCACTTGGCCCTTCGGGCCAGGTGAGCTAAAAAAACCAACCCTGCCTACCTACCTAACCCTACCCATGCATGAGTAGGCAACATCAAACAAAGAAGTAGATGTCTATTGTGTATTATACACCAAATATATATGTAAATGCCTGTTTCAAATTATCTTAAATGTTACAATGTAAACAATGTATATATTTGTTTGATAGATAAAAAAGGTTAACTTTTTGTGTACTGCAGACAAGAATTATTTGATGCAGCTTTTACAGTTATACACATGTATACTGTACAATCAAACCTGTATTAAGAAGTCACTCCTGAGAAGTAGTAAAATTGACCGCCCAAGAGTGACGACCAGTTTCAGAAACAAATCTGATTAGGACATAGCACATGGACCGCATTGGGGCAAATTGTTTTAGTGTTTTCAACAAGTTATCGTTTGTGCAAGCAGAAAAACAAAAAATGGCGGATTCTGGCCCCTAATTTTAAAATAAATCTGTTGATATAGTTAAAGGGGCACAAGCTACGAGATACTTTGGATTCATTTATTTTCGTGGGTACCAATTTTCGTGGATAAAGGAAAACTGATATGTTATGGATATTTGATTTCGTGGTTTTAAAGAGGTCTGCATACAAGTCTATAGAAAATTTGTCATTCGTTGTGAAAAATTGGAATATGATTTCATTTGGTTCAATCAAATATAATAGTAGTGAAAAATGAAATAATAATTCCCTATAATATTAGCAGCCAATTTGGTACAATTTTGTCAAAATAAGCAAACTAATGTCGCTGATGAATATTCACTTGCAAGTGAATAAATGGACCTCATTAAATCCATATTCATGTGACCTTCAATTCAACCCATTAGCTAGAGATTGGTTACACATGCATGAATCGTGGTCAGCCATTAAAAGGAAAAGAATGTCAACATACATGTACATGACATAGAAAGTGAAACAAAGGTGAACAACTTAGTTGACTGTTTCGATCCACAAACAATATACCTATAATTTGACCAATGGTTTCATAATCATCTGACCAAGGTCTGATTGGCTCAAAGTAGTTATCTGCTATTGCTCTCAGGATTGTACCAAAGAATTCTTTTCTTGGCCCACCTAGGTCTACAGCACTCTGAAAATAACAAAATGGTGTATATCAAGGATGAACAAAAAAGCCTTTACCCAAATGATTGCATTTTTGTATAAAAAAAATTTCAGTGATGCAGTGAATGTACATGTAGGGTAAATTGGGTAATAAAAGAACACAGTTAACATGTTCCCCACATTGCACATATTTTATCTATCTAAGATTAACTAAATAAAAATTTGGTCATGACTGGACACCCCCCCCCCCCCCCCCCCCCCCGCCTTTTTAGGTCAGTAAGTGGAATTGATACTGAATTTTATAACGAAATCTACATTAAAATTAGTATTTGTTAGTTTCAATTAAACATGAAGACAGACACTGACCTATATATAGATCAAATTATGTAAGATACTAATGAGGTCAAAGTTTGTGTATTGAGTGGTCTGCCATGTTATGTATAAACTCAAGTTATGCCAATTTGTCAATTATTATGATTATAATTGGCATTTACATGTAGCATGTTTAGGAGGGGGACCTGGAGGACTATATAAAAATTCCAATAAGTGTCCCACCCTTTGTGTTTAATTGAACCTTGATCATGACATTTAATATTGTCAATCATATACAGTTAATGTACAATAAAATGCTTCGCTGAGCGCAGCCTGATACGACCGCAGTGGTCGAACCCTAAACAGTTGGTGCAAGTTTGGACACAATATTCAAGCTTGATACTGTCTGAATTTGGATTGTGATCAAATTTTTGACATAATCATGATAATATTGGTTTCTGACACAAGACAAAATGTGGTGAAAGATCTTAAAAATTTGAAATGGGTTGAAATATTTGTATTAATTTTCAATTGAAGATTTCTTGCTATTGTGCAATACTGTGCAAATTGAAGATTTCTTTCTTTGGTGCAATATTGTGTTATTGCACAATAGTGTGAAATTGAAGATTTCTTGCTATTGCGCAATACTGTGCAGTTGAAGATTTCTTTCTAATGCGCAATACTGTGCTAAAGTGCAATACTATGCAATTGAAGATTTTCTGCTATTGCACAATACTTTATATAATAATTTACACATCATATTTGGTGTGTATCTCCTGCCATATCAGTATTTTTTGCTTTAATATACAAATAAGAAATATAAATCAATGGAAAAATGGAAAATTTAAAAAAAAAAATACCCCCCCTCCCCAACCCCAATATTTTTTTTAACCCTCTTTCAGTAAATACCCACAAACTCAATCCCAGCTTTCCCTTTGTGGTATGGTACCTTGCTGTACAATTTCAGAGAGATCCATACACTTGACCTCAAGTAATTGTCTGGAAACTAGAAAAATGCTTATTTTGACCCCTTTTGGACCCATTTTTCCTAAACTCTAGGGACCATAACCCCCAAAATCAATCCCAACCTTCCTTTAGTGGTTATAAACCTTGTGTTAAAATTTTATTAATTTCTATTTACTTATACTAAAGTTATTATCTGGAAACCATCTGTCTTCGGACCATGCTGACAACCGGCGACGACGACAACGTGATACCAATATTCGACCACAAAATTTTTAATTTTTGCGGTTGTATAAAAATGTATGATCAATACAGCAAAGTCAAAAGACAAAACTTAGCCAGTAATTGAAACTAGAGGCTCTCAAGAGCCTGTGTCGCTCACCTGTATTTACTGATGCTTTGGAAATCATGTAAAATCAGGTAAAAATAAACTGCTTCGCTGAGCGCAGCTAGATACGCCCGCAGAGGTCCAACCCTGAACAGTTGGGGCAAAAATGGACACAATATTCAAGCTTGATTCAGGTCTGAATTTGGATTGTAATTAAATATTTGACATATTATAGGTTTCTGAATAAATGTAGTCAAAGAACTTGAAATTGGTTATATGAATTGAATTTATATTCAATTAAAGATTTCTTGCTGTTGTGCAATACTTAGTAAATCTGTTGTCAAGACTATAAACAAATAAAGTTCAATTAATTCTCAATGTCATATTAGAAATTTATGAAAATAAAAAGGGAGCTTACATCAATAGATATAAACAATTCACCAAAGTATCATGAGAATTGGTGATCGACAGCATTTTTGAGTTATTGTCCGAAAACTGGAAAATCACCCCTTTTTTTAATGAATAAAACCCCATAACTCAGAAATGTAAAATGTAAAATTTATAAAAATCTAAAGGGAGCTTACATCAATACATACAAACAATTCACCAAAGTTTCATAAGAATTGCTGAAAGCATTTTTGAGTTATTGTCCGAAAACTGGAAAATCACCCCTTTTTTTAATGAATAAAATCCCATAACTCAGAAATGTAAAATGTAAAATTTATAAAAATCTAAAGGGAGCTTACATCAATACATACAAACAATTCACCAAAGTTTCATAAGAATTGCTGAAAGCATTTTTGAGTAATTGTCCGAAAACTGGTAAATCCCCCCTTTTTTATGAATAAAACCCTGTAACTCGAAAACATAAAATCTTAAATTTATAAAAATCGAAAGGGAGCTCATGTCAATAGATATAAACAATTCACCACAATTTCTTGCAAGTTGGTGAAAGCATTCTTGACTTATTGTCCGAAAACTGGAAAATCCCCCTTTTGTTAATGAATAAAACCCCATAACTCAGAAACGTAAAATCTAAATTTTATAAAAAACGAAAGGGAGCTCACGTCAATAGATATAAACAATTCAACAAAGTTTTATGCAAATTGGTTAAAGCATTTTTGAGTTAATGTCCGACATGTTGACGACGGACAGACGGACGGACAGACGGACAGACGGACGGACGGACAGACGGGCAACGGTATACCATAATACGTCCCGTAAACGGGCGTATAATCATAATTAATAGTATTAGATATTAGATATTATAATGATATCTAAGATAACAAAAAACTGCAAAATTTTTGTAAAATTACTAACTCAGGGGCAGCAACCCAACAACGGGTTGTCGGATTCGTCTGAAAACTTCAGGGCAGTGCGGCAGATAAATCTAAATCTGATGAATATTTTTGCCACCTGTCAGATTTGCTCTTAATGCTTTAGTTTCAGAGATATAAACCAAAAACTGCATTTTACCCCTATGTTCTATTTTTAACCAAGTCGTCCATGATGGTTGGATGGCGGGGTCATCGGACAAATTTTTTAAATTAGATACCCTAATAATGATTATGGACAAGTATAGTTAAATTTGTCTCAGTAGTTTCAGAGAAGAAGATTTTTGTAAAAGATTACAAAAATTTACGAAAAAAATGACTATTAAGGGCAATAACTGCTAAAGGGGTCGACTTACAATTTTGGTCATGACAACTGATTTGTAGATCTTACTTTGCTGAACATTATCGCTGTTTACAGTTTATACCTATCTATAATAATATTCAAGATAATAACCAAAACAAGAGTGCACACGCTGAAATGTCTCGCCTTCTTTACTAATCATTGATATTATGTTGATAGTCCTAAATATAAAGCTTTATTACAACTGTCACATAAACTTAACATTAACCAAGTAAACTAAACATTGACCAATGAACCATGAAAATGAGGTCAAGGTCAGATGAACCATGCTAGGCAGGCATGTACAGCTAACAATTCTTCCATACAACAAATAGAGTTGACCTATTGCTTATAGTTTAAGAAAAACAGACCAAAACACAAAAACTTAACACTGAGCAATGAACCTTGAAAATGAGGTCAAGGTCAAATAAAACCTGCGTGACTGCCAAATAGATCATAAAATATTTCCATACACCAAATATAGTTGAACTATTGCATATAGTATAAGAAAAACAGACCAAAACACAAAAACTTAACTATAACCACTGAACCATGAAAATGAGGTCAAGGTCAGATGACACCTGCCAGTTGGACATGTACACCTTACAGTCCTTCCATACACCGAATATACTAGACCTATTGCTTATAGTATCTGAGATATGGACTTGACCACCAAAACTTAACCTTGTTCACTGATCCATGAAATGAGGTCGAGGTCAAGTGAAAACTGTCTGATGGGCATGAGGACCTTGCAAGGTACGCACATACCAAATATAGTTATCCTATTACTTATAATAAGAGAGAATCTAACATTACAAAAAATCTGAACTTTTTTTTCAAGTAGTCACTGAACCATGAAAATGAGGTCAAGGACATTTGACATGTGACTGACGGAAACTTCGTAACATGAGGCATCCATATACAAAGTATGAAGCATCCAGACCTTCCACCTTCTAAAATATAAAGCTTTTAAGAAGTTAGCTAATGCCGCCGCCGCCGGATCACTATCCCTATGTCGAGCTTTCTGCGACAAAAGTCGCAGGCTCGACAAAAACTGCAAAATTTCCTTAAAATTACCAATTCAGGGGCAGCAACCCAACAACAGGTTGTCAGATTTGTTTGAAAATTTCAGAGCAGATAGATCTTGACCTGATAATCAGTTTTACCCTATGTCAGATTTACTCTAAATGCTTTGGTTTCAGAGATATAAGCCAAAATCTACATTTTACCCCTATGTTCTATTTTTAGCCATGGCGGCCATCTTGGTTGGTTGGCGGGGTCATTGGACACATTTTTTAAACTAGATACCCTAATGATGATTGTGGCCAAGTTTGGTTAAATTTGGCCCAGTGGTTTCAAGACGAGAAGATTTTTGTAAAAAGCTAACGACAACGGACGACAAGTGATCAGAAAAGCTCACTTGGCCCTATGGTCCAGGTGAGCTAAAGAGGAATGACTATTATTTTTGAAAAAATACTCTAAATAAACATTGATAGAGACACAGACATGAGAACATTTTTGAACTATATATATATGTCAGTGTGCACGTGTACTTATATCTAATCTGTCCACTTTCTATTTTGACTTTAATAATTACTTGTAAATCTTAACTTGCTGAACATTTCTCTTGATCTATAATAGATAATCTGAAATATATTTTTTTTGTGTTAACAAAATGTTATATGTTTCATCATTTAACATATTTACTTACTTCTTCATAAAACTGAACCTCCAATGTAAGTCTCAGGTTTTCTAATGCCCTAATTTCTTCCAAACTACTTTCCAGTATGTTATGTCTATCAATCACCACATAGTTAGTTTCCCCCTCTATTGTCGAGTCTATTGCCTCAATATCCAATGGTCGGCCCTGTACAAGAATGCACTGTATGTATCTTAATACATCAACTGGGTTTTCCATGTTGTTCTCATTACAATACCTTATGGCATACTTAAGGATTTCTTCTAATTGCATACTGCGCAACATGTCAGTTGAAATATTGCCATTATTGGCTGATACAACAGTTTCAGATGCATGTGTTTTTTGTTCTTCGGAATCAACTACATCTTGAATAAGTATTGTGCTTCCTGTTTCGGCTGAGAGCTTAGAAAGGAAACTGAAAACTGGTAAGCTATCATCACTTAGCACAACTACATTATTCTGTGTGTTATTGGAAGTACTTATATTCTGCTCTGTATTTGGTTGAGGACCATTATTGTTTTCATGATTATTGTCAACTGTTGGTCTGTTCAACTGTAAATCTACTGCATTGTGATCTGTTGATTCGGGATCATCTTCACATTCAACATCATTTATGATTTTGTTTCCTTCACATGTTTTTAAATGTTCTCTTAGGCTACACACAGCAAAGAAATGTTCACATTGGTAACATTTTTCATGAATGTCTGTGTTATTCTCAGAAACTTCATCTAATGGTTTTGTTGATAGGTTTTTTTGAATGGGTCTAATGAACACTTTAGCCTGACCAATAATGGTTTTTAAGATTTCAACACTCCTACGGCCATTGATAGGCTGCAATTGCCTACAATTACTCTGACATCTTAGGAGCTCGAAACCACCAGCTTCACACAATTTGGGAAAAGCTGTAATTAACTTGTCTTTTACTGTCTCTTCCTCTTCGTGTACCTCAAATTGTACACGTTTTGGTCCCAAACCAGCTTTAACGAGTTCATACTTTTCTACAGCGGTTGGGACCCTTTCAGTGTCTTTATCTGACAAGCAAACAAAGGTTCCTGTCCATGTCCTCTCATTGCATTGTTTCTTTTTTTTTCCATTCACTTTTCTTGACTGTGATGTGTTGGACCCAGCTGATGATCTTGTTGGTTGAAATAAAATATTTCTATCAAAAAGATGATCTTGTCCTTTATCACTAACTGAAATTAATTAATAATACATGTAGATGTTTTATTTTAATAAAAAAACAATTCAATTCAGTTATACTGACAACAGTATACCATAATACGTCCAAAAACGAGGGTATAAAAAAAAATGTGGGACAGAAAGTCACAGGACAAAAAGTCATGGATAAAAAGTCACAATTCAGTTTTCATGGTTAGAGAATATTTTTTTTTGAACAAGAAAAAACTAATTTTCAAGATATTTTTGGTGTTTTTCTTGAACTATTATATATAAAGCAACTTTTAGTGGTGGATCCAGAAATTTTCATAAGGGGGGCCCACTGACTGCCTAAGAGGGGGCCCGCTCCAGTCATGCTTCAGTGATTCCCTATATAATCAACCAATTTTTTCCCACAAAAGGGGGGCCCAGACCCCCTGAAAAAAAAACTCTAAATCTGCCTCTGACTTTGTTATTAAAATTTATTCAATTAATATCAGTAATGATCAAATTATTGTTATGAAAACAAAATGTCAAAGTGGCTTAATTGTTACTTGAACAGCTTCATGTTGCCAAGAAATATATCCTTTGCATACGTTCGCCAGGATGTAGGTTGGATGATAAAAGCAATGTCTAAAAAGCTAGTTAAAAATTTGGTTTAAAACTAGAAATTTCACAAAAAATTATCTAGTTAGACTATTGTAGGAGAAGTAGAAGTAAACTTGTTTCCACTTGGACAGATTATCATATTGTGTACTTCCATCTTCCATGAACATATGGGGTCTCACTAAGAAGCATCAGGAATCGACAAGAAGCATCAAGAAGACTATCTTATCGACAAGAAAACTTAAAATAATTCTTATTAAACTAACTTATTCTAAATAAATATATATTAAAACAAGAATTTGTCCCTAGTACATGGATGCCCCATCAACACTATCATTTTCTATGTTCAGTGGACCGTGAAAATGGGGTAAAAACTCTAATTTGGCACTAAAATTAGAAAGATCATATCATAGGGAACATGTGTACTAAGTTTCAAGTTGATTGGACTTCAACTTCATCTAAAACTACCTCGACCAAAAACTTTCACCTGAAGCGGGACAGACGGATGAACGAACGAACAGACGGACGAACGGACGCACAGACCAGAGAACATAATGCAAATTACACACAATGTGAAACCTCAAATCACAAGATGTTACCAAATTAAAAAAAAAAGGTGTCTACTCCATTTGTCATTTTTGAAAGGAAAAATGTTTAGAAAAAAAATCAAATGAGAAAAGCAAAACACGTGTCCTTTGTTTTAATTGCTACAATAACATCAAATTACATCCCAGCTCCTTTGTTCTACCAGGGGTGATCTGAGCCGGATCATCCCTACCAGATCAACCCAGCTTGAGTTTCTTTGTTTTGGAAACATTTTGGCGGGAATGCCTAATCCACAATAAAACTTAGAATTTTCTATTGAGAAAAAACACACTTTAAAAATTTACATACATATAGAAAACAAGAGTGCACACGCTGAAATGTCTCGCCTTCTTTATTAATCATTGATATTATGTTGATAGTCCTAAATATAAAGCTTTACTACAACTATCACATAAACTTAACATGATCCAAAAAAATGAGATCAAGGTCATATAAATGAAACAAGATATACAGTACTGTATATGTACACCTTGCAATCATTCAATACACTAAATATAGTTAACCTATGGCTTATAGTTTCTAAGAAACAGACTTAACAAAGAAAACTTAACATTGAACAATGAACAACTAAATTTAGGTCAAGGTCAGATGAACCATGTCAGACAGACATGTCATTCATGTACAGCTTACAATTCTTCTATACAACAAATATAGTTGACCTATTGCTTATAGTTTAAGAAAAACAGACCAAAACACAAAAACTTAACTATAACCATTGAACCATGAAAATGAGGTCAAGGTCAAATGACACCTGCCAGTTGGACATGTACACCTTACAATCCTTCCATACACCAAATATAGTACACCTACATGTATTGCTTATAATACCTGAGATATGGACTTGACCACCAAAACTTAACCTTGTTCACTGATCCATGAAATGAGGTCGAGGTCAAGTGAAAACTGTCTGATGGGTATGAGGACCTTGCAAAGTACGCACATACCATATATAGTTATCCTATTCCTCAAGAGAGAAATTAACATCACAAAAAATCTTTATTTTTTTTCAAGTAGTCACTGAACCACGAAAATGAGGTCAAGGACAATAGACCTGTGACTCAGTGATCTGGAAGGATTTTTTTTCTATGGGCCCAGGGCCCCACAAAAATAAATTCAATGGGCCATTTTTAGAATTAATGGGCCATGTTGTCAAATGAGTGGGCCATTCGTTTACAATAAAAAAATATAAAAAAAAGTGTATATTTCACTGTACTTACAAGTATGATTCTAATTAATATCATGGATATTGTTCCTGTGATTTTGTAATTTCAATTTCAATAAATATACAATAACTTCTTCCAAACCGGGCAATATTTACGATAACCTTTATTTACAATGTTAAAACTGGTACTGTTCCCTTGTTCATGTTCATGTTCAGGTTTTTTTTTACATTAAATTTGGGTCTTCGTCGATACCATACTTATTCCAGACGTTCCGTATTAGAGGACGTTTCTGGCATTTCCTCTGCACTTGTATTATCATTACTTCATCACGATGACAAGAATAACAGTAGAGAGCAAAGTTAATTGATAAGACACAAAGAATTCGCTGAAGGCATGTTTACAAAATGTCAAAACGAGCCAAAGACCAAAAAAATTGACAAGGACAGTTAAGCCCCTTTTATGGAAACAAATACTATACTATTCATAAAAAGGCTTTTGGGTTTTTCAATCGAAATAATAGCAAGCTTACTTAAAAGATTATAATTAAAGAAGAATTCTCGCCTGTACTAGCCAATTTTCACAAATTTAAAGTTGTTTATAAAAAAATATATCTTGAATGATGGTTAATTACGTTTATTGGGTAATCAGTCATACCGCATGTTGCTATTATTACCACAGGAAAACACCCGAGACGTCCCAAAAATATATAGGTGCTCCTATCATTGGAGTAAACACTACACAGTTGTGTACTCACACATGGCGGCACGAAATACGATCAGAAATCCATTTGACGATATCTCAACGTTTCAAAACGAAGTGAAAAATATCATGCGCCACGCGGGCGCTTACATTTGTCACTTTATGCGCCATTTCTGGTCGATAAGCGCAATTGGCGCAAGGCGCACGTCCATCCCGATCACTGGTGACTGACGGAAACTTTGTAACATGGGGCATCTGTAAACAAAGTATGAAGCATTCAGGTCTTCCACCTCCTAAAATACACGTATAAAGCTTTTAAAAAGTTAGCTAACGCCGCCGCCGGATCACTATCTCTATGTCGAGTTTTCTGCAACAAAAGTTGCAGGCTCGACAAAAATCCACTGTCAATGCTTGTATTCAAACTCAAGACCTTTAGCATATCAACCCACGACACATACCCCTGAACCAGGACCACTAGATACCAACTCTCGGTAATTTAACATATTTAAAGGAAGCAAGATATTTTAATTCATAAGTGGAGCGAGTTGGCAGACCTTTATTCAGTGGGATTTTAACCTTTTTCATAAATAAGGTGAGTTGTTAGACTGATTGTTCAGTTGGATTTTATCCTTTTTCATAAGTGGGGCGAGTTGGTAAACAAGAGTGGGCCGATTTAGTGTGGGCCGATTGGCCAGTGGGGCGAGTTGACATGGTTTCATAATTAAACATCGTGTTAGAGGGTCATAAAGGGTATATGTTATATAGTAATATATAAAGTATATTATAATGGTTCTGGACGTTCTAACTAGATTTTATGAATTGTAACTGGTTTTTCGTCTAATATAAAACAGCTGGGATGTAAAATAGTTATCCCATTCGGACTTGGTGTGTCAGTGTTAGATCACCCTCTGGCCACTGGCCATCGGGGTGATCTTACACTGACACATCGCGTCCTCATGGGATAACTATTCCTTATCACCTTAAACTTTGTACACGCGTCAGACTAGCGTCAGACTAGACAATTACAGGCGCCGGAATATAGAAGCATTATAAATAGTGAACACCTGTTGAAAACTAACATTGTCTTTAATTACCTTTAATCTTCAGTCATGCATAAACTAATAAATATCGTTTAACTAAAGGCAATACACAAAATAAAATGATGTAATATATTTACGTTTTAATTACGTTTTCCTCTTGTTTGATTTCAATGATTTCAGTTCCTTCAAGGATTTGTATAGTAAAATCTACTATAGTATACAAATACTTGGTTCATTGTTTCTCACAAATTTTGTCTATTTTTTTTTTGGGACAATGATGCACAAATAATGCATTTTGCATCCAGTCAGTTTATTACATATGAGACAAAAAGAGTGTTTAAAAATTTTTAAGACAATATACTGTATACAAATGTTCTAAAACACAAGAGAAAATTAATATCATGACAGGGAAAACATAATATTTACTGTAATACATATATGCAGTGTATATGTGATGCTTTGCTACTACAAATGTACAAAAATGTATAGATATTGACTTTTTTTTTTAATTTACATTTATTGATATATTTATTTCTTGTCGCTAATTAGTGAGACCGCAAATATGCATGGTTCAGCCTTCACGATAAACTTTCGAGTCCACAAGCCCAGGGCTCAATTTTATGAAAATTTTAGTTGGTTTCTGTTGGCTTGTAGAGAAGAATTTTACAAGCCCCCGGGCAATTTTACAAGCCATGGCCATAGGAATTGTGGTTAAGCGTAAAGACTGATGGTTTACCCATTCCCAAATATTTACATTGTCTCGCATGGGTGAACAAGTCAAACATCATATGACCAAGTTTCTTCAAGTTGAAAATTAACAATTGAATACATATCATTCTGTAATTAAATACAAATGCTTGACTGTACCTTACATTGAATATCAATATAGCTATATCCAAATTAAACAAATAAAACTAAAAGCAG